CCCTCGACTCCATCCACATCTGTCACTCGCCTCAGTATCACGCAACCCCGCTTTCACCCTGTCCTTCTCCACCTGCTCTCTCCATCCCAACCGCGGACGACCCCTTCCTACCACTCCTTCAACCTCGAACTCCAACGCTCGCCTAATCCCGACCCTTTCATCCCTTCTCAACACATGTCCATACCACCGCAATCTCGATCTCCTTATCAATGTCACAATGTCCTCATTCAGTCCCATCATTGACATCAGCTCTGTACTACTCCTCCTATCCTTCACTTTAACCCCACACATCATCCTCACCATAGCTCTTTCAGCCCTCTGCAGTACACTTTCCTCCTCTCTCCTCAACACCCAAGTTTCACCACCATATATCATCGCTGCTCTCACACATGCTTTATATACCCTCCCTTTCATCTTCACTGACCATTTCTTTCGATAATATCGATAATACGATAATAATAATAATAATAATAATAATAATAATAATAATAATAATAGTAATAGTCATCATCATCGTGACAGCCATCATCATTCTCATCATCATCATCATCTTCATCATCAAACAAAAATAATTACAAATAAAAATGGAATACAAACCCCGGATTCGGTCCTGAACACGTGACAGTAGTACTTTCCACTGCCATCGTCGCCGCTACAGCCGCCACCACTACCACCACCGCCACCACTACCACCATCATCATCATCATCGCTGACGCATTTGGTGATGTACGCAAAGACGCACATATCATCGCCGTGCTGAGTGGCCGAGTAGATGTTGCTCATGTCGTGAGTGCAGACGATTACCTGGTGGTGGTGGTGATGGTAATGATGGTAATGATGATGATGATGAAGCAGTTATGATGATGATGAGACAGTTATGATGATGATGATGAAGCAGTTATGATGATGATGAGGCAGTTATGATGATGATGATGAGGCATTTATGATGATGATGATGAGGCATTTATGATGATGATCGCAGTAGCCATGGTAATGATGATGATGATGATGAGGCAGTTATGATGATGATGGTGATGATGATTACCTTATCATTATTGTCAATGAACTTGAGGCAGGTGTAAGAGATCGCCAACGACAGCACAGGTAGGCTCTCCAGGTGGGTTAATGATTTCTAAATTTAGTAGAAAAATTATTTTTATTCTTTTTATTATTTTTATTATTATTTTATTATTATTATCATCATCATCATCATCATCATCATCATCATTATTATTATCGATCAACAAACCATCTAATCAATCATTTAATGAATTAATCAATCAATCAATCAATCAACCAATCAACCAGCTAATCAATCTATCGACCGACCAATGAATCATTAAATCAATCAACAAACCAATCAACTAATCAACCAACCAACTACTAGTGATCTAGTCAATCAACAAACCAATCAACCAACCAGCCAATCAACTAACCAACCAACCAATCAACCAACCAATCAACTAACCAACCAATCGATCAATCAACCAACCAACCAACCAACCTCAGCCAGGCATAAGGAGTGCTCTACTTGCTCTCCATCATTAATCAAGGATATCTCATTCGATCCCAAATACTAATATAAATTATAATAATAAAAATTATAACAATTATAATGATTGAATAAACGAACGAATGAATGAACGAACGAATGAATGAATGAACGAATAAATATATTGATGAATGAATGAATGAATGAATGAATGAATGAATGAATGAATGGATGAATAAATGAATGAATGAATGGATGAATGAATGAATGGATGAATGAATGAATGAATGAACAAACAGACAAATAAAACCTTCACTTAATTCCCTTATTAATAATCATAACATAACCATAATTTAATAATAATAATAAGCAATAATAAACAATAAATAATAATAATAATAATAACCCCTAACCCAAACGAGGAATGAATAGCAGCCGGTCACAAGCCTACTTAGGTTACATCTCATTATGACGTCATCCTCATTTCTCTTATTATTATTATTCTTATTATTATTATTATTCTTACTATTATTATGATTATTATTATTACTAAAGTCGTTAGTGTTGTTGTTGTTGTTGTTCATGTCGTTATTATTATCTTTCTTATTTCTCTTGGTCGTCCGGTTAAGATTTTCAACGGCATACCGAATTCTCTTCCTGTGACCAATAGGCAAGCAGGAGGTGACCTAGAAATAATAATAATAATAATAATAATAACAACAATAACAACAACAACAACAACAATAATAACAATAACAACAAAAACCGAATAAAAATAGATTGAAAGAAAATACCTTTTCCAGAGTCTCATTAACATTAACGACATCTCTGCCCATTAAATCCTGCGTATTAACGAAGCCGAAGTCTTCAAAGAGTTTGGAATATATAGGGAGTCCCATTTTAGACAGCCACAAGGTCACGGGTTCGAACGCATGTCCAGCGCCTTCAGTTTCGTCATCATCATTAATGCCGCTCTTGCTAGCATGCGTTCTATTATCATCATCGATATTAATATTATTTAGATTAGTTTTACCGTCACAACCATCATTTTTATGATCGCTATCATGATATCTATCATTTGTATCTTCATTATCGTCGTAATCGTAGGCGATAGTATCATCGTCCGTTGGAATCCTATTGGTGACGCTGATGTCTTCAAGTGATTGAAGAAGTTTGTTGACGTCATCTCTGCTGCTTATGCCGATGTTTTCCAGGTCGTCATCAGTCAGGAGGTGCTGATAATGATGGAAACAATCGAGGTTGTTAAAGTATAACAATAATAATAATAAATAATAATAACTGACCATATATTGCATGTCGTCAAAGCCATTCACGGCCAAATGCTCTTCATACTTCAGCATATTTTGGCTCTCTAGCCAATCGGCAACACTGTTAATTTTGGCCAGGTCCATTTCAGCAACAAACTTTAAAATCTTTCGGTCACAATTTTGCTATTGACGATGTAATTATTATTATTATTATTGGTATTATTATTATTAACATCGATAATTAACAATTTCAACAACAAAAACAAAGTGATAATAAAAAAAAGTCTTAAAAAAATTCATGCAATCATAAACGTAAAGCCAACCTCCAGACTATGATCATCATCACGATCATCGTCGGTTTTATAATTATTATTATTATAGTTATTATTATTATTATTGCTATTGTTAATTATATAGCTATCAACCGCCTCATTAACTCTCATAGCGAGGCTATTATTGTTATCATCAAGGCATTTATCTTCACCAATTTTCCCTCTACTACTACTACTACTACTACTACTACTACCATAACCGCCACTACTACAATCATTACTGTTATAATTATTATTGCTATTAATATTATTGCTTTTATTGTTGTTGTTGTTTTTGTTGTTGTTGACGTCATCGTCGTCGTCGTCGGTCTCAAACACTCCTGATAAATGCTTGCTGTTCAGCTTCAGATTGCAAGATTCTCCCGCTAAGAATGGATGGATCTAGGAAAAACAAAATTATTATTATTATTATTATTACCATCTTCATCATCGTCATCATTATTGTTGTTGTTGTCATCATCATCATCATCACCGCCATTATTATCATTATCATCATTATTATAATGTAATTGTTGTTGTTGTCATCATCATCATCACCGCCATTATCATCATCATCATCATCAGCATCGTCGTCACCTGCAAACTCATTCTATTCTTGATCTTTGGATCTTTGTTGTATTTCCATACCCTCAGCCTACCTTCTTCTTCTCTTTCATCATTATTATTATTATTGCTATTATTATTGTCCTTATTATTATTATTATTATTATTATTATTGTCCTTATTATTATTATTATTATTATTATTGTTATTGTTATTATTATTTTTAACCACACAACTTTTAGACCGATTAGGAGCATCGCCTATAAACAAGGATGACGATAACGACGACGATGATGATGTTGTTGTTGTTAGTTGTGATGACGATGATGATGGTGTTGGTAATGATGATGATGATGATTGTGATGATGATGATGATTGTGATGATGATGTTGATATCGGTAATTGGCTGAACAGGTTTTTGAAGACATAACATTTCAGAGATTGTTTGCGAACCAGCGATAATGATGATGACGACGACGACGATGATGATGATGTTTTCGTTGCTGCTGATGATGGTAACGATGATGATGATGATGATGATGACACCGATGATGATGATGATGATGGTAGTGGTGGCTGGACTCCAGATTTCATTTTCAGATCTTAATTTATGAGAGATTAATACAGATTTTAATCAATGATGAAGATGATGATGACGACGACGATGATGATAATGATGATGACAACGCAGATTATCTTAATTGATTGATTAATTGATTAATTAATTAATCCTTACAAACTGCTAGTAGGTTAGCTTCATAGCGCAAACAACCATGATTACTATCATCACCATCCATCATCCAACTTCAAACACTATTATCAACATTTTTCTCAACTTTTTATGAGGAAACAAACATCAAGAAATATTGCTACCAGCAGAATATTCAATATTATATAATATATACATATAATATATTATTATATTATATATAATATATATTATTATATTATACATATTATATATTATTATATATATTATTTATTATCTGATATCCAAGTCAAATATGAGTGATGGGAGCTTAATGGTAAGAAAATATCTGGTATGAAGGATGGAGAAAGTAATAAGGAATGCAACTGAATGACGGACGAATGCTAAGAGGAATTGAAATATCTTAATTTAAAAATTGATCCCAAATGGAGTCACAGCTTGAAATACGGTCCGCCCACAACAAAAGAACTTCTTAAATGCTGATACCAAGTCATTCATTGCAATACGAGACAATACAAGACAGATGTAAGGGGAAGTAAAGAGCGTTAAGAACGAAGCTGCAGCCCCAAGAAAGCAGCTGAAGCGCCAGAAACGCTGCGGTCAGGGCGACTTCGAATGTATCTTCTGCAATTAAAAATGAAAAAAAAAACAGGCCGAAAATTAACTGACCGTTAAATATATCATTTGTATAGCTAGCTCGATTTTGATTGGTGGGCATAAAAGTTGATCTTGATAATGATGACGACGACGATGTTGTTGTCGTCGTCGATGATGATGATGATGATGATGGTGAGGTTATTGTTGTTAGTGCTGATGTCGCTATGACATCAATGTTTTTACTATGTAGTAGTGACAGTCTGGCCGCTGGTTTTGGGGTTATGTTTGTCGTTGTTGTTGTTGTTGTTGTTGTTGATGTTGTTTTACCTGTTCTTTCATGTGCTGATGTTATGAGTAATGACGTTCTCGTCGATATTATCGGTGGCTGTGTTGATGTCGCTGGCGTTACAGCTACAGCTGCTGCTGTTGTAGTTGATGAAGTCGCTGCTGCTGATGCTAATAACGATGACGACGACGACGATGAGGATGACGTAACTGATGACGTAACTGACGGAGTTTTTGTTGTCAGGTTGCTATGATGGAGTTGTTTGAAGTCATCTGTTGATGTCTGCATGTCCTTCGAACGCCGTCTCTGTATATGTTGAATTCATTGTGGAATAAGTGATGGAAAAAATGAATGAATGAACAAATGAATGAGTGAGTGAGTGAGTTAGTGAGTGAGTGAGTGAGTGATTGAGTGAGCGATTGAAAGAACGAAAAAAATAAATAAATGAAAGATAGAAACGAACAATGAAGTGTAGGAGAAAAATAAGTGAAACTAGAAAAAAAGCATCCTTATGGTCAACACTATATCATCATCGTCATCATCATCATCCACTTCATCCTCATCATCATCATCACCATCATTTTCTCACAATTCTCTCTTCAAAATTTTTCAAAGTTCTCAATAGCAAACGTGCGGCATATTTAAATACCTCTGAATCGTTGCATGCAATCGAACCCGGCCACTGTGGCATCGGTGCCAGGCAACTTACTCACTACGCTACCGCGTCGCCTAACGAAGTAATAACAATCCCACCTCTTTAAAAATGTACTGCTGTATTCCCAGCATGGCTGTCTGGGGCGAGGGCGGTGGATGATCCGGGGTGGGTAGGTCAGCTGGAAGGTCACCATGGAAACAACCGCCAGACTACAAGTGTCATTATTATTAATTAATTAATTTATTCATTCATTCATTCATTCATTCATTCATTCATAGAGTTGTTGGTTTCATTCTGCAATTATCACTCTTACCACACGTTCATGTAGATAAGTTGACTCTGAACAAATCACAAACCGAAGAAGTTGATGATGTCATAATTGCAGCTGATGAAGTCATTATCGATGTTGTTGTTGATGTTGCTGATGTTGTTGTTGTTGTTGAAGACGATACCGGTGATAAGGTTAGCGTTGATGTAGATGACGACGATGACAACTTATTATTATTATTATTTTTATTATTGTTGTTGTTGTTATCATTGTTACTATTGATGTTGTTGTTGTTGTTCAAACTTTGTGTGCTGTTGCTATTGTTAACTAGGTTTTTTCTCGGAGGTTTTTTGGGTGCAACATGCTGCGATGTAACAATAACAATAATAATAACAACAACAACAACAACAACAACAACAACAACAACAACAACAACAACAACAACAATAATAATAATAGTAATTATCAGCTGTCTTAATAATAAAAGACAAAAACATAGGGAAACAACTAAAACGACTACTACTACTACTACTACTATTACTACTAACAATAATAATAATAATAATAACAACAATAATAATAATATAAATAATAATAATAATAATACTAATAATAGCTAACAGGTCGATCAGTTTTGTTGAACGACGAAGACAATCCAATGCTTTGGGCCGTGACTTGTGGTGGCTGGTGTGGCTCCACAACGACTATAATTATTATTACAATTATTATTATAATTATTAATATAATTATTATTACAATTTTAATTATAATTATTATTATAATTATCATTACTACTATAATTATAATTTTCGCTAATGTTATTTTCATAAGTCTAGTAACAGTAGTAGTAGTAGTATTGTTGTTGTTGTTGTTATTATTATTACTACTACAATTACGAATTCTTAATCGCTATCAATCACGAATGAAAATTATTCACATTCACATACATATTATAATCATCATCATCATCATCATCATCATCATCGTCATCATCATCATCATCATCGTCATCATCATCATCATCGTCGTCACTTACGCCTGGCGATTGGCTGCGGACAGTCGTATATACTTTCCTCTGTGTAGCCAGTATCGCTACCACAACAGCTGCTGTTGTTGTTGCTACTGTTGCTGTTGATTCCGAGTGAGAGGAAGACAGAGCTGGAACTACTGTTTGGGATGATGATGATGATGATCACAACCATCGTCATCATCATCGTCGTCGTCATCGTCATCATTATCATCCTTTTCACCAATATTATCATCATTTTCTTAGTCATATGAGTCATAGTAAACATCATCATGATCATCGTCGTCACAATTATCACCATCATCATCACCACCATAGTCATCTTCATCACCGTCATCTTCATCTTCATTGCCATCATCATCATCACCACCATCGTCATCATCACCATCGTCGTCATCAGCAGCAGCATCCCAACCTGCTTCGATCATCCCTGGTCAAGGTATCGAACTGCTTCCTAAGCGTCGGGTAAAGATCATTACCATAATCATCGCTGGCCGACAAGACAGCCTTTGGCGCATTTTTTCGCTTCTCTTTGATTGGTTAGAGACATTTTTGAATAGATAAGTGTCAATTTATGATAGGTCGAATGGACGGTTTGAAAATGTCGTGTCAAACGTGTCGATTTGTGATTGGCTGAATTCACGAATGGCCTTGCATTTGATTGGCCAAGATGATGGATAGTTGTGGATGGACAAAAAGCGGGATTGGTTGAATGCTTTTTATAGTTTAATGTGATTGGTTGAATATAAATATAATTATAATTTTTATTATAATTTTAATTATTATTCCCACCTGCAATTAATCTCTTCATCTCAATGACGATGGGATTATTGAGTTCGTTTAAAAGGTCTACAGTGGTCTTGCCATGGCAGCTATCTTTAATCATAATGTCACCCCCTTAGCGTAAAAATGGTATGATCCGGTATTGATTATAATTATTATATTTATAATATGCATAATTATAATTTAATAAATTTGTTTACTTATAATGAATATAAAGCAGATGGGTAAGAAAAGTGACGATAATCAATCAAATCAAAATCAAAAATACTTTTTGATTCACGTAATGCATACCCCTACTAAGCAACAATTTGAAAACATCCAACTTTCCATACAGTGACGCTTCATGCAACGCTGTGCCGGAACTCGTCTGAGAGAATGACGTCATTATCATCGTCATCATCATACTCACCATCGTTGTCACCATCATCATCGTCATATTCATCACCACCGTCACATTCACCATCATCGTCATCATTATATTCACCATCATCGTCATCATATTCATCATCACCATCGTCATCATCATCACCACCATCATTTTAGTTTGTCGTTCTCAGATGTGCTATTAATAATTTCTGTCATTACTTATAAACCATAATAATAATAATAATAAATAAACAATAATAATAATAAATAATAATAATAACCTGGTGGTTAACGGAAAAACCAGCATCTAATAATAGCGCAGCAACGACCGTATTACCGTTCTTTGCCGCCAGGTGCAGGGGTGATTTGTCAAATGAGGTCAAATGGAGATAAATCTTAGCGTTGGGACTACTCAACATGAGTTTGACCTTTACGTGTTTGTGTGTGTGAATTTCTGTGCGTGCGTTTGTGTGCGTGTGTATGTGTACAACAAATACACCAGCAACGAACGAACGAACGGATGAACGGACGAACGAACGAACAAATGAACAAACAGTTTCTAATCTGCCATAAGCAATAGCTAGGTCGAGGGGTTTCTCATCTTTTCCATTTTTCATCAGAGGGTTGGCACATTTCTTTTGAGTGATAACAATGACAATAATAATAATAAATCATTAATCAATCAATCAATCAATCAATCAATCAATCAATCAATCAATCAATCAATCAATCAATCAATCAATCAATCAAAAAATCAATCAACAAATCAATCAATCAATCAACCAACCAATCGACCGACCCGACAATCAATCAGCGAGCGAAGGTACCCACCAATACCTACCCCCACAGTACCGACACAACGTTTGTGTGCCCGTACTGGGCTGCGTGTGCAACGCTGTATCGCCATCTGAGTTCTATCATTACAATATTATTATTATTATTTATATTATTTATTATAATTTATTTTATTATTTATTATAATTTATATTATTATTTATTATAATTACGTCTTTATTATTTGTTATTGTTATTATTCATCATAAAACAAAACCTGCGCGTTGACAGATGCAATGGATGGCCCTTGCGTCAATAGGACGTAACAAATTTCGGCGTTACCCCTCCAGGCTGCCAAGTGCAAGGGGTAACACCCCTTCTGATCTGCTATGTTGGCTGAGGCCTGCAACTTCAGCAGAATTTCGACCACTTTTCTGTGGCGTGTGGCATTAGGTTAGAGTAAAGACTTAGTAGACAAGTGAAATGATTAGGCCCAGGCAATACAAAATAAGATAATCTCAAGATCACCATACACACATACATACATTACATAGATAGGTACACTCATACATGCGTGCACACATACACACGTACACTTATACATACTTACATACGTACATACATACATGGATATACATGCACAAGCATACAAAAACAAAACGTCTGTCACTGAGGTTATCACATATCTCTCATGTTTTAGGCTCAAATTTGTTTGTTCAACATATTTTTTTCACTTAACTAGTCTTGTTCACTTATCATGTTATATTTGCTTAACCTGAAAACAATAAATTATTATTATTATCAATTAATTATTATGCCTCTAAATTAGCCTTTATTTACATAAAAAACAAAATTATAAAAGTAAAGTTTCTAGAGCAAATAAAGCTTGGGGTAATGTATGTATAACTTAAGGAATGTTTAATTGATGTAGCATTAGAATAAGCAATACAACATAAATAAATTTCAAAATATTTATACAAACAGGCAGACAAGCAGACAGACAAGCAGACAGACAGACAGACAGACAAAACACAACACACATACAAACGCACATACAAACACAAACTTATGGTCATTGAGGGCAGCAAAGTGCAGGGGGGTTTCCCCATTGAGGTCCTGGCAGTTAACTTGAGGGCCCTTACGCAAACTATGTTAAGAATATAGAAAAATCCCAATCATTTTAACAAATTTACATGAAAAAAGTTGAAAATATTGTCAATGTTACGCATTATTATTGATCAATTTACTACTATTACTAAACAAGACTATGGCATAATAAGTATAAATAAATGGATGCATTCATAATAAAATACATGTAGATTGCAGTAGTTAACAATGCTTACCCTACATAATTAATAAGGACAAACTAAACTTATGTTTAACTTACATGATAGTTGATGAGTATTGAAAAAGAATGTACAACATTGCTAAGACAAATAAGGGTAAGGCTTATTTAATAAGCCATCCTTTAATTTAATTTAACATAATTTAATTTACAACAAAACACAAAATCATTATTTTGATCTGCATTGGTAGAGAGTAAAGTCTTATTAAAATTTAATATGAATATATAATATATATGAATGAAGTTATATGAATAATGATAACAAAATTTTAGATAGTACAATAACACAGTTTTAAATCCATTTAACCTAAAACAATAAATCAACAAATTAATAAAAATATGAATGATGATATGCCTTTATTTATTATTATTAATTATATTATATAAAATAAGTCCATTGTCCATATTATCAATGATTAATCTGTGATGATCTGTGAGAATATTAAATAAAAAAATTGTTGAAAGCCTAAAAAGCCAGAACTTACACCAACGATTGAACAAGGGGCAACTGAATAGAGTTCGCCCATTTGCTTCCCTTTGAACTGGCTGATAGCAACTTCTCAAAGTAGGCAACATTACCAGATCTGGCTGCTTCCAATATATCATTTTCTTTTCCCATTTTGAGGTGTTTTTTTTAATATTTTATTTAATTATTTATCATTAATTTGTAAAAATATATGATACAAATTTGGATATTTTTGTTTAACTGGATAAAGAAAATATGATTTAATGTAAAATAAACAAGGAAATGAGGAATTAAAGGCCCTCAAAACAAGCTATTGTCAACTAAATATAATGTCCGGGTTGCAAGCCTACTATTTATATACTAACTCAATTTTAAACGTTTTAGCATTTAATAAAATGTATTTTCATTATTATTGTTGCGTAAAATTTATAATTTGTAAAAAATATCTTATAAAATAGAGTTAGTTAACAAGTTAGAATTCTTGAAATGCGTTCAACTCCTTTTGAATAATTTTTATAAAGGTTAATTGTTTACTTCTCTATGTAAACAAACAAAACAAAAATGTCGGCTGGTCAGTAGATTTTTAAATCTTTTTTCAGTTTTTTTCATTAAAAATGGTTTATTTATTGAAATTCAATTAATTATTAGGAGTAGTTTCTTGCTTGGCGAATGAAAATTACGACGATTTGGAAAAATGCATTAATCAACTTAAGAATATTGGTTGGTTTAATAAACTTTAAAAATAGACTGGCTAGATAATAAACCATAAAATTTAACAAATATAATACACTAATTAGTACAGATATATAGATTAATAAAAAAAATTACATTAAATTAATTAAAATAAAATTTTTAATAAATTCATTATTGACAATATGTTATTGTTACTTTTGTTAAGAATTTGTGAAAAACTATTTTCCTAATTCACTAATTGCCTAACAGAACTGTGTGATCACCCAGAAGAAGTACACAAAGATATTTTTAATGAGAGCTTCATAATGGAAGTCACTGAGTGTGGCAAGTCTCCAAGAAGCCAAAAATCTCTAACCTACATCTTCCAATTGCTGGCTGAAGTTGCTAAAGCAGGTATCAAATTGAATAACTTTTACATTTTATTTTGGTGTAACTTTACATTTTAATGAATTAATAATTTATATATTTTTTGGTGTAACTGTAAAGTTAAAGTAAGTAAACATTTCATTAAACAGTTCTACATATTATACATTTTATAATATAAATTAACTTTAAGTTAATCTAAATATTTCATTACTTATAGTCTTCTTATCTTATTCTTATACATAAAACACATTGCAGTTTATTTTGTGTGTGACTTATTTATAATAGATACACATCCATTTAATTTTTTATTTCAATTTTCTCATCTGTTTCACTTTTGCTTTTCAATGTTATACGATACTTTGGTTTATTTTAGGTAATTATTTTGTTAATTTTCAATATTTCAAAATTTATATTAAAATTTTTTGTTGCATTGCAAGACAAGGGTAGACAGTTATGTACCAATGAAAAGGTACTGAAGATGATAATTGAAAACCTCAGCAAAAAGTCCTTAGACGAAAAAGAAAATTTATCATTCCAGGCATGTAGAGTCTTTGGTAACATCTGTTTTGAGTCAGGTCGGTCTTTATGAAAACATTCTAGTTATAAATTTGACAATTTAAAAAAAAGTTAAAAAATCTGTCATTCCTACAGAGCCAGCTAGAGATATAGTCCTCAAATTGAAAGGTCACGAAGAGATGATGAAACTGATGAAATCATTATGCGATGATATCATATCATCACTCTCGCTATCATTTGATATCACACTGCCATCGTCTGCGTACTCCATTGTTACCAAACATTTAAAAGTTGCTTGCGGGGCATTTATTAATCTCATTGACGAGCATGGTTGGTTGTTCTTGTGATTTCTAACTTTCAAATTTGGAATTTTTTCTCCTAAGATGTCGTTTTCAAATAGTTCAGTCACGCGCGCACACACACGCGCGCGCGCGCACACACACATACACACACAGACAGACACACACACACACCTTAAAATTTCACTTTTTAAAAAAGTCTCATTTCAACTTTTCCAACTTTAAACAGAAGAACTACAAAAACTTGTCCTAACCAGCGGCATATTTGACATCATACAGAAACTGTTAATCATCAATTATGGCAATACTGACATTGTCAAAGTCACTCTGAACATTCTAGAATATTTCCCTGATTTTTTTGAAGGTATGGTGTAACCTTATGGTCTAGCCATTTTTCTCATATGAATTGCAACGACATTTCATAATTATAGTAAAAATATAATATTAATTATATTATTTTATTTCATAATTTATTTATTATAAATAATTATTTTTGAACGCAGATCGGGCTACACAGTCATTTTTGTCATCCCCCAAAACATGGGAGGCCTTCTATTTGGTGCTGAAATCGTCGGACGATCAAGATAATGTTGATACACTCTTCCGGATATTAAGCTGCTACGCCGAACATGGTTTAGTTGGGGGTTTATTATTGATGTTTATCATGTAATTAGGTCACTAATTATGTATATTCATATCCCATAATTAAGTCGCTAATTATGTAAGTGGGTCATTAATTTATTTGGTAATTGTGTCGTTAAATTTTTGTGGTCATCAGTTTACCAGTTTGTTATGTAAGATTTAATACATTGGGCAGTTAGGTCACTGACTTGTTATGTAATTAGGCCAGTGATTCATTAATTAATTGAGTCACTAATTTTCTGCTTAAATAGGTCACTAATTAAATAATAATTTTGTGAGTATTTTTAAAATTTTGATATTTTCCATCTCCAAATTAGATAGCAACAAAGAACTAATATCAAAAAGTCAATTTCCTCAGAAATTGTTATCTTTGGTGGATGATTTTGAGTCGACTTGTGCAGTCAAATATATTGATTTAGTTGGTGATTTCATCATCCTATTGCTAACTGGAGGTTTGTTTGTTTGTTTGTGTGTATGTGTGTGTGTGTGCCTCTGTTTCTCTATGCGATTTGGTTAAGAAGTTTTAATGTTTTTTCCAAATGACTTTTTTGATGTTAATATAACATAAATTAAATTTAAGATATTTAATTTTGATTAGATTCATTCTTAATCAGACAAAAGTATGAACATTCTGTTTGGCAATGCGGACGGGGAGGTGTACAAACAGTTGAGGGGGTGGATGAACCCTCAGTGCCCCGTCAAAATCCAGGCTGCGGCCGCTTTTGCTATCTGTAATTTTGCTAGATCTGGTCGGGTTTTTTTCTTTTTCTTTTAATTTTTTTCAATTTACAAATTTGTGTGTCTTTGGTTTTAAATTGGAATAAATTAAAAATAATCTTCTATAAACCGCAGATACAAATTGTGTATCTTTGGTCAAAAGTGGAATTGTTCGAGAGATCAAAACCTTACTCGAGGTCTACCCAGTCGGAGACAAGCAGCACGTCCTGCAACACGCTCTCTTTGGAACCCTCACTAATTTAGCCATATCTCGTTTGCTATTTTGCTATTTTTTTTTGGTTTTCATACACTTTAGCTGTTATTATTATTCTTATTACGGTTAAATAGATAAGTGAATGGTTGGACGAAAAGTGGATGATTGAATGAATGAGTAAACGGATAGATGGATTGTTGACAGAAATGAATGATTGAATAAAAGAATGAATGAATGGATAAGTGAATGAATGAATAAAGGGATGAAATAGCGGACAAACAAATGAATTGACGGCAAATTAACCAATCGCACACAGCCCTCAATAGAAAAAGTTTGTTGAGCGACGGCGTTGCTGAGACTTGTCTATCGTTCCTGGCAACAGAGTCCTTCACCGTCCTCTTCAAAATGCTCGCCACACTAAGGATGCTGCTCAGTCAGAACGGTATCAATTATAATTATTGCAATAATTATAATTATAACAATAATATATTACGTCAGTGGTATGAACAACAGGGGCACAAATACACGCTCACACGCACACACAAACACGCACACACACAGTGTATGTGCTTGTCTTCATGCTTAGCTATTATTTACATTCCTTTTGTAGTTTAAAGGTAATAGTTATATATATCTGTATAACACATTGGTGTTCAATATGGCAGAATATGGTTAAATTGACGATTTTTCATAAAATAGTTTTCATCTATATATATATATATATATATTTATATATATATATATGTGTATATGTATATATATATATATAGATTGTTTGAAAAATTTGACATAAAAATGTTATTTTGAAAGAAAAATTAAGACAAATTTATTTCCATTTTTGCAGAAAAACTGGCCTGCGATCTCGGTAGAAATGAGAAATTCCTAAAGAAGATAGATGAATCCATTGCAGCCAGTAGCCACGAGGGAGTCAAATGTAATGGGAGACATTAGTTTATTTCTTTGATTTAGTTTTTTTTATAAAATGTTTGTATAATTTTTCATGTAAAGATATCTATGTGTGTGTGTGTGTGTGTGTGTGTGTGTGTGTGTGTGTGTGTATGTGTCAGATTGTTTAAGCGTGTGCGCGCGCGTGTGTGTTAGTATGTGTCAGAATGTTTAAGCTTTGGCAATGAAATGATTGTATCTAATGCATGGCGGATGAAAGTATGACGATTAAATTGAGGTCTTCTCTTGAAATGCTTTTTAAATATACTACTAAGAATTGTACACCACACACACACATACACACACGCACACACACACACACACACACACACAACAGGTGAATCCCTAAGAATATTTGCATCGATAGTCAAAAACTGTCGCGATACAGACGTCATGAGACTGTTGCTGCAGCATCATCTACTTCAACATCTACTCTACCTACTGGAATCCGATCATATAATCATGAAGAATGAAGCGCTCCTATCTCTCAATGTTCTCGCTACGGCTCTTGGTTACTCCTCATTCCTAGATTATAATTTTGTGTCATCAATTGTCCAGTCATTCATTCAATCAATCAATTAATTAATCATTCAATTAATCATCGATCAATCAATCCATCCAATCAGTCAATCAATCAAACAATCTAGCTGTTACTTAACTATGTGTTTTTGGTTAGATAAACTAGACCTAAGTTAATTAAACCTGCTAAGCTAATTGAATAAAAACCGTTCTGATTAACCTTTCAGATGAAACTGTATTTGAGAAATTCTCCAAAGAAATCTGCCTCCATTTGATGTATGCCCTATCATTATCATCACCGACCTCCTCCTCCTTCTCATCATCATCATCAGTACTACCAATGCCAGATTTACCGGTCGAAGTTTTGTGCAACACCCTGGTACTGGCTACCACATCTCTCAAATTTGGTTTCTTTTTATTGCTTTTTAATTAATTAATTAAATTAATTAATTGATTGACTGGATGGATGGATTGATTGATCGATGATTAATTGAATGATCAATTAAGAATTTTAATTAATTGTTTTTAAAATTGAATTTATTTAATGGTTTAATTAATTTTTTGAGTATATTTATGCATTATTTTGTAATAAATAAATAAATTAATTAATTACTAAGCATATAAATAAAACGAATAAATGAATGAATTTAACGAATTTCTATTCTCACTTAGCTTCTGTGAAGGTCGAGCTAGACAAAGAAAATTTTCATGACAAATTAATGGAAAAGTACTCGTCGCACACGGATGAAAGAATCAAAAAACTTTTAGAACAATTGCAATAAAAGACACACATATATATATATATATATATATATATATATATATATACACACACACATATATATATAAATAAACACACACATATATATATAAATAAACACACACATATATATATATAAATAAACACACGTGAATGTTACGTTAAAGTTTGGTTTTATTTATTTATGTGTATTAGTTTAACTTAAAAATAGTCAATATAGATTGGTTGTTACAAGATATACCCACAGACACACACACACACACACACACATACATACACACACACATACAATACAATACAAACACTCAAGTTAAAACAGTAAATTGATAAACGCTTAGTATGTATAATTTGTTTTTAATGTTGCTTTTGTAAAAGGTTATTAAACTAATAAGCAATTATTTTTTTTTATCATAAACACTCGATCAATAAAATATTTTATATTTCATTTTTTTTTCCTTGCCTTTGATCAAAAAGCGATTGAAAAATGGTGATACCTTCTCGTTATCGAGAACACACACACACACACACATACGTCCACACACACACACATACGTACACACACATACACATATTGATGGAGTTTCAGTAGCTTCGTACATAGGCACCAAGAAAAAACACACACACACAGCCATACGTATAAACATAAGCACACTTACACACACACACACATGTGAACAGTATTCAACTATACACTATATGTACATAACATCATTTTTATGTGGCATCGTACACAGGTTCCATCCTTGATGGCTTGCTGTCTCGAGATAGGACCGATATTTTGAACAACCTGAAATGAGGTTTGGTTAATTGGATGGTTAATTGGATGGTTAATTGAATGGTTAATTGGATGTCTAATTGAATGGCTGTCTAATCGGTTGATTGACTGATTGACTAAATTAATGAGTGAATGATAAAATGAATTAATAAATAATTGAATGAGCAATTTATTGATTGATTGAATGAATGACTGATAGAAGAACTAACATAGGAATCTGCAAATCATCTTTTTTCTCAATTTCAACCATGGTTTGTTTCTCTTCTTTGACACTAATCATGATAATAATAATAAGAAGAATAACATAGTCTTAAAGATACTCGTAAGAGGTGGCACGCTGCTGTAAAGAGCTTTGCTATTTAACGTGCACTAATTCACATTCACTAATTCTCATTCACTAATTCACTTGGCCTCATTCACTAATTCACTAACTTGATGCCCCCAGCCGATCCGAGAAACTCGACAAGAGCCACCTCGTTAAGTTGGGGCATACTAAAATCCTGCCTATTCCAATGTTGGTCTTTCACTAATTTGGGGATGCTCGTTTTCAATTGGTCCACAACTATAAACGATTCCTGATAATGATGATGATGATGACGTCGTTGGTGATGATATGATGACGTCAACGGTGACGATAATGATGGGCTGTTGATGACGATGATAAATAAATGTATATACAATATTACTCCAAAGTAATGTGACCTCTCAGCTTAAAAAATGAAACCGAAACATCAGGAAATACAATTGCAGCCAAACAAAACAGAGGGAAACAAAACAAAAAAACAAGAAAACTGAAACTTGAACAAAGCAGTCGATAAGAATATTGACGTCGAAGTCATCATCGTCTTCGCCAAACGGATTCGCAACTGCTTCCCCCACCTATTTATAATAATAATAATAATAAAATAGTAATAATAAACTAATAATAATAATTACTATTAACATAATAATAATAATAAAATAATAATAATAAACTAATAATATTAATAATTACTATACATTATCTAATATTACGAAATAGCACAGACGGCAAAAAACGTCGTTTCGTTTTCGTTATCATTGCGCAATGACTACAAATAGTATCGCGTGCGTACAACTATACAAATACACACAAAACATACATACACAACTGTATACAAACTTTCAACCAAGCGATATAGAAGACAAATTGCAGGAGGGTAAAGAATGGGAAGTATGACTCCTGGTTGCCCTCCTTTATAAAGGGGTAGCGGCCCAGCAAACAGGTGAATGAAAATAAATACACTGCTACTGAAACGACCTTGTGATCGATTAGTTGCTTGGTTGGTTGGTTGGCTATAACTGATTGACTGGTTGGCTAATTGATTGACTGGTTGGCTAATTGATTGACTGGTTGATTGAATGCTAGCTAACTGGTTAGCCAACGAACGAAAGTAAGGACAAACGAGCAAACCAACCAGCCAACAAACCATGCAATCAAAAATGAATGAATGTTCGTCAGAAACCACGAAACCCACCGACCTGTGTGTAGACTAGTGGTAGAGTGACCCAATCAAACCTGATCAACTTGCTACAACCGCTTCTAAATGCATTTAATTCCTTCAGGATTTTTAGCATAAAAAATTAGATCAATGTTTACTAGTATTTATCTTCATCATCATTACAGCTAGCCAGTCAAAAACTGACCAGTCAACTGACCAACCAGCAAACCAACCAGCCAACAAATCAATCAACCAGTTAACAAATCAATCAACCAACCAACCAATTAACGAACCAACCATAATCAGCCTCTCTTGATCAATATCTTTCTTAATCATTCCCTGTTTACGAGCAGTGCTGATCAGAGATGTACCCCAGACTATTGGAATGAAGTAGTGGTTACATTTGACCTCGAAATTCTTAACCTCTGTTTCTTCTTCCTCTGTTAGGAGGCCTGAGAGATTAAATGAGTGAACGAATGAATGATTGAGTGAATAAAAAATGAATGAGTGAGATGAAAGCAGTTGAACTAACAGCGTGAATGAATGATTGATAGAAGGAAATGAATGAATGTTTAAAATAATTATTGAATGAGTGAACAAACGAACGAATAAATGAACGAGATAATGAACAAATGTTAGAATCACCAGCTTCAACAAGATGATTAAGCGTTGGAAATCTCTTCTTCACAGGCTGGCAGATTGACCTCATAACCATTGTAAACGTACAACATACGTACCTACATACAAATAACACAATAAAAAAAATAACAATTATTATTATTCTTATTACTTAATATTATACCTCAAATACCTCATTACTGTCCGCCTATACTTTCTTGTATTCTCGTCTTCACCAGTTATAAATATGTTAACATAATATGCGAGCGTTGATGGCCAGGGTATGGAATTGAAATATAGCCAGAACCGGCTGACAACCTGAGACACATAGAACCCCAGCACAAAGGCTAGTGGAATTTTGTAACTGTTTAAGTTGCAGTATAAGGCTATCTGCTGAAATCGCCTATTTTCGATAATAATAATTATTATTATGATAATAATAATTATAATAATAGTAGTAGTAATAATAACATTACTGTAACTAAGCTAAATTTACTAAATTTCAAACAAGTACTGCAGTTACTGTCACTACTTCTACTACTGTTGCTACTACTACTACTACTGCTACTACTACTATTAATACCAATAGTAATAACAATAATTGTAAATGACTGCCGAACGTTTTCTGCTCGTCATTAAATGCCAGATAGTAGCTGAGAGAAATTGAAACATAGATGGTACCAAATATCAACACATCCTTCCATATCAATTTCCACATACTGCCTTTCCATCTACAATAATAAAGAGAATAACAATAAGAATAATAATAAATAAAATAATAAAAGCTAAAACAATATTTTTTTAAGTAATGGTAGTAACATTATTAATAAAAAAATTAAAAAAGCAAATTTTCTGGACATTTTTTGATTTTAAAATTTTAAATAAATTTTAATAGGATTTTATTTTAAAATTCCGAATTTTCACTGAAGTAAAAGAACCAAAAAACCTAAATAAAAGCTTTATAAATCCGAGTAAAGTAGCTTCAGCAATTTTATGCGTATATTTGACCGTCATTTTGTCAAATTATTTGGTAACTAAAAAATTTTTGGAATAGGCGACATTAAGGGCAGACGCTTGCATCGAACATAGAACACTTAACAAAGAAACCTTAAGAATTAATTAGAGTTGAGATATATTGTGAGGCCCATTTTTATCATCATCGTCGTCATCTTTTTTATTATTTCATCATTAATATAGAATATTAAAACCAAGTTTTCATCAGTTATTTATTCATTATTTATTTATTAATATTTTTTTTTCTACTACAGACGATCGAAACAACACAAAGAAAAAAAATTGTCGTTGTGAAAATATAAAAATAAGAATAAAAAGAAGAAAAATAATAATAATAATAATAAACAACAATAATAATAATAGTCTAATAATTCATAATAACATATCGCGTGTACAATATATTTAATACGAAATTTACGTGGTACTCGTGAGCTACGAATTAAGCAACAAATTTCAACTTAAACCGAAATTCTGGGATAATTTGAAGTAGTTGTTAGGTTGAAAGAATGCATCTAATGTCCAAATTATTAGGTACGATATAATTAGGAGTTTGGAGATGTTTGAATGAGAATGATTGCTCTTGCTTGGAAAACTGAACGGAGCCTGGACGCCTGGTGAGAAAGTTAACAAAAATAGAAGAAAATTGTATAAATTATATATTATTATTATTTAGTAAGTAATTAATTAAATTATAAAAATAGAAAAAAAATGTATAAACTATACTATTATTTAGTAAGTAATTAATTAAATTATAAAAAAAGAAGAAAAATGTATAAATGAAAATTTCCATCACCATCACCCACCATCTCTTCCAACAGCAACTAATTTCGATTGACTGATTAACGTCTGTAGGTTGGTTTCTGCGTTGATCGCAGTGTTAGTCGCCATGTTGGTCGCCACATTAGCCTCTACGCTGGTGTTCATAGTGACCACAACCCTGACCTCGTATCGACCGCCGGAAGTGAGGTCATCTAGAGTTATGATCTGTAAAGAGGTGTGCGGAGCTGTTGAAATCCAGTTATTGCTTCCTGTTAGGGATGTGTTTGTTATTTGTTTGTGTTACTTTATACAAGAACTGATGTAGCGCTATTTTAAATTCTCAAATGCCAACCCCAGTATCGATATTCGACTCGGTATGACTGGATAGCCTCGATTTTCGTATGTTCCAAGCCGATTTTCACGACGTTCGAGTCTCCGTACCACACACGGAATGAAGGTTGATTCGAAATATCTTAATTTGGTAGAATATAAAACAAATAAATTTATAATCAAATTATCAATTGATTGGATGAGTGAACGACTATATAAATGTTAGATAAAAGAACGAACAGGTGAACGAACGAACAAATGAACGAACGAACAAAAGAGGGAACGAACGAATCGATAAAAGAATGAAATCCCACCTTCTCTTCTTCCGATCCTTATCCGCTTGATATTGCTATAACTCTCAGGGTCACCCTCCTTCTCACCATTTCTAGAGGTCAACTTTATCTCGTAGGTCACATCTCCTTCCAGGCCACTGATGATATGCCAACCCTTATTGGCCAGTTCTTTTGATTGGGTCCACTTGCTCTCTCCTGATTGGTTGGTTTGACGCAAATTTTTTTAATTTTTTATAGTTTATTTGATTTTTTTTTTTTGATGGAAAAAACAAACTTAAAAGATGAATAGCGTTAAGTTTGGCCTTTGGCCTGAAATATAGAAAAAATGTTGGTATTAAGTGTCTTTGGTTTAATTGACACTTTAAAAAATATTTAATTACAATTTGAAATTATAGTTGAATGACCTTCACAACTTAATAGAAAATTAAATTTTAACCATTTAATGGGTCAATCAACTGAACAATTCAACACAATTGTTATTTAAAAAACAATCCAACCTGTCAATCAAATCAAACTGATCAATCGAAACTTAATTAACCAGCCAAACAATTATCTAACCAATCAACCAACTATCTGACCAATCAAACAACTATCTGACCAATCAACCAACTATCTAACCAATCAACCAACCAATCAAATAACGAAAGTTTTAGAGAACTCTAAACCTGCTTTTCTGTAATTAACGATGTACGTAGTTCCGACGATTGTTCTACTAGTATGACCCCTTGATGGCGTATACCACGTGACATTCAGCAACCTATCATCGTTTAGCAGGTTCAGTATGATTTCCGGTGCACTCGGCGCTGATTGGTTGATTTTTTTTTACGTTTTTTGTATTTTTTTAGTATCTTTTTTTGGAAATAAATATCCAGGGTTATATGAGTTTATTAACAAAATTTTGAAGCGGGGAAGAAGAAATATGGACTCATTGCATCTTTTTTTTCATAAATTTCAAAAATAACCATCACCATCAATAACACCATCATCATAACCACCGTCATCACCGTTATCATTATCACCGTTGCCACCATCTGACTCACCACCCCAATCACCACCACCACCATCATCATCGTCGTCGTCATCATCATATCATGTATGTGTAGTGTGTACGGTTGGACCATTCTGTAGCCGTCAATTAAATTCCAATCGCCAAAGTACTCGAAAATGAAGAGGAGAATTTTTCAAAATCCTAGTAAACAAACACTCTTTCCTCCGAGATTGTAAATAATTGGGATGACGATGACGATGATGATAGTGATGGTAATGATGATGGTGATGATGATGACGTCATGACTATGATGACGTCATCCTTACGGAGGTGTATAACTAACACTTTTTCAATGGCCGGCGTTTGTTCGGTTTGGAGAATAAAACTTACGTGAGAATTTGCCATAAGCTTCTGCGCGCTATTGTTGTTGTTGTTGTTGTTGTTGATGGTGAAGATGTTGATGATGATTTTGTTGATGGTGATGTTGTTGATGAAAATGTTGATGATGATTTTGTTGATGTTGTTTTTTGAGGATGTTGATGATGATGATGTTGATGATGATGATGTTGTTGATACTGAACATCAACAACAACAACATCATCAACAAAAACAACGACACCCTATAATACAAAGACCGGTGCATAAATAAAAAAAATATCGCACAGGTAAACAAATAAAAATATGTAGGAAGAAAAAAAATAATAGAGAAAAAGAGAAAAGAGAAACAAAATAAAAATAGAGACACCGAAGGAAAGAGAGAGAGAGAGAGAGAGAGAGAGAGATTTAGAGTTGCTTAGAGCTCAAGTTACAACTGATTATATATTCAAAAATGTTTGCTTTGTTACATTTTCATCGCTAGGATTTTTTGATAAGGATGAAGACGACGATGACGTCGATGGTAAAGATCTAGAAGACATAATAAATAAATTTACTTCTTAATTAAATATCAAAACTGTTACTTCTATGTTTTCTAGATCTTTGTTAGCAATTGTGATTTCGATATTTAATTAAGAAGTAAATTAAACAGAAAAGTGGCTATAAAAAGATTCCAATTTTAAATGTTCAGGATTATCGGATTTAATTAAACCCGTCTAAAATTCATCTGCCGGTCTAATGTTGAAGAATTAATATTCTTTGGTGTAAAGCCTCGAAAAAATATATATCTTTGTTTTGTCATTTGAAAGTTTAAATTAATAAAATAAATACATAAAAAGAGGTAAGATGGATGATAAGAAAGCATATTCAAACAAAAAGATAAAAACATTTAACATACAAACACATACCAATACACAAACATACCATAAATAAATACATACATACTTTTATACAAACATACATACATACAAACAAACATACAAGCACGCATTCAAATATACTTATATACAAACATATATAAAAGGACCATGAAGCGTCATCGATTGATGTCTTTATCTGAAGCATTTAACTTTAAATAAATTTTAAATGAACGTACGAATGAACGAACGCCGTATGCATCCATGAATGAATGAATGAATGAAGAAATGAACGAATGAATGAAAGAATGAATGAATGAAGAAATGAACGAATGAATGAAAGAATGAATGAATGAAGAAATGAACGAATGAATGAATGAAGAAATGAATGAATGGATGGTTGGATGGATGCATGGACAAGTAAGTATTTTAACGATTCTTTTCATCTAAGGGCCCATAAATAGAATAATAAAAACCAAAAACAGAATAAAATAAAGAGTCTAAAGAAAATTAAATGAAAAATATTTACAACCCTCCATCAATAAAACCAAAAACACTAAATCGTATAGCACCGGAAAATAATCGCGATAATAAAAAATAAAAAAATGTATAGATAAAAAAAACTATTATAGCTCTTCCAGTTGAAAACAAAGATATAAAATTTTACGCCATATTGAACGGGTCGCAAGGGTGATATTGGAGAGAATTTCCTCATAGTTAATTCTCGCTTTTATATCTATGCTTCAATGAGCATGTCTCTTTCTGAGAAAAGCGGAAGCAGACGAGTGTTTAATATTTTATTTCCGGTTGGTAATATCGAAGCGCTTCATTTTATTCTACGTATATTCATTATTTTTGGTTTTATCATTTTTAAGATCTATGTTTTATTTAAATGGACCTCATCTTTTTTTTTTTTAAATTTTATCTCAAAAAATGTATCGATTAGCACTTGAAATATATCACCAGCTTTATATTTATCGTCATCATCATCATCATCATCATCATCCACATCATCTTCATCGTCATCATCATCATTATCATCAACATCGTCTTCATCATCATCACCGTCAACGTCATCATCATCAACAACAACAACGACAACAGTCTCCCATTAATACGCAGTGCTCTAAACAATATTATTTATGGGTACTAACGAACATGGCGACAAACACACACACACACACACACACACACACACACACACACACGCACGCATACAAGCACACACTCCGAATCAGACGCAAACATTTGTTGCCTTAAATCTCTCTGAACATCTTATTAAAAATTTATTCTGCTCGTACAAACTTTAATGACGTTATGATGTCGACGACGATGATGATGATGGTGATAGTGAAGACGATAGCCATAATGATTACACGCGCACACACACACACACGCACACACACACACACGCACGCACACACACACACACACATACACACACACTCAAAAGCCAACACGAACACAGACATACACACGCATAATCATCTTTTCACACATGCATACACACCAATTCACACATGCATACACACTAAGGTAGGATAATGACCAGGAATAGCAATAATCTCTCCGCAGTTGTCTCCATACATAATTTAACATTCACAAACATTTATCTATGTATACCCCACCTTTCTCTCTCTCTCTCATTTTCTCTTCTTTTACTCTCATTTTTCTTTTTTCTTTCTTTTTCTGTCTATCTACCCTTTTTTCTCTTTTTTGTCATTCTTTCGCTCCTTCCATCTACATCCTCAACTTTATATTTTTCTTGGAACTTAATCGCTTCTTTCTCTCTCTGTCTCTCTCTATTAAAAATTCTCTCTCTTTTTCTTTCTCTTTCTTTCTCTCTCTCTTATTAAAATTTCTTTCTCTTTCTTTCTTTTTCTTTCTCTTTCTTTTTCTCACTCTCTCTCACTCTCTCTCACTCTCTCTCCAATTCTTTTCATTTAGTCGCTTTTACTTTTTCTCTCTCTCCTTCTTCTGTTCTTTTATTTCGTTGCACCGGCTGACTCCAGCCACACACCAACACCACATGTTTTGTTATCTAGGTCTGTGATAATTATTACGCAAGGGTGCCTAGAGATACACACACACACACACACACACACACACACACACAATCACACACACACACATACATTGAATGTACACACAATCTTCTGTTCTCCCTCTCTTTCTTTCACACACACACACACACTCACTCAAACACACACGTACATACAAACACATTCATGCACGTACACATATACTCTCTCGTTCTCTTTCTCTCAGACAAAAACTCACGCCCATCAATTAGGGTGGATGTTTCTAGAGAAGAGGCTGGCCCGCAGCCAACCACGGTTTTCGCACAGACAGTCAGGCTGTACTTGTAGTCTGGTGAGAGGTTCTTCAAGGTTATAAGTGTGTTATTTTCTCCAGAAATCTCCAATCTGTGTAGCTGATCTGTTGCGTCTGTGATCTCTTTGAATGCTGGAAATATGAGTGTGCGTGTGTGTGTGTGTGTGTGTGCGTGCGTGTGTGTTTTTGTTATATATTATCAATATTATTGTCATCCTCTTCTTAATCTCCTTCATCTCAGGCGTTACGTTCTTGCCTTCTTCAGCATCTTCTTCCTCTTCATCATCATATCATCATCATCATCATCATCATCATCATCGTCATCATCATTATCATCATCATCATCATCACCACTACCTCTACTTTCATCGTCATGGTCATCATCATCATCATCATCACCACTACCTCTACTTTCATCGTCATCGTCATCATCATCATCATCGTCATCATCATCACCACCATCATCATCACCACTATCATCATCATCATTACCACTACCCTCATCATCATCATCATCACCTCCATCATCATCATTACCACTACCCTCATCACCATCATCACCACTATCACCACCATCACCATCATCATCAACGCCAACTCCACCAACAGGTATACGTCAGAGTGTATCCCAGTAGGATCCCATTTTTCTCCTTGGGAGCGGCCCACATCAGCATGAGGTAATTTATTCCGCGTCCCACCGCCGTGAAGGATTCTAAGGGACCTGGTTCTGACGGTGATGATGATGATGATGTGATGATGGTTGTGGTGATGATGATGATGGTTGTGGTGATGATGATGTTGGTTGTGGTGATGATGATGATGGTTGTGATGATGATGATGATGGTTGTGGTGATGGATGATGGTGATGATGATGATAGTGGTGGTGATGATGATGGTGGTGGTTCTGATGATGATGATGACGTGATGATGGTGATGTGATAATGATGGTGGTGATGATGAGCACTAGCAACTAAAAAAAACCCACAAAAACAACAACACATACTAGACAACAACAACAACAAAGACAACGAAACAACGACAACACATTAACAACATATACAATAACATAAACACCAGCATAAACAACAACAACAACGCAAACAAAAGTTTAAACAGCAACAAATGCATAAACACAAACAAGAACATAAACAATAACAAAAGGCGTCGAATGCGCAGCGATTGACGATGTATATCTTGATAATCAATGAAGCGTGCCTTCGAACCAATGAACTGCGGTTCGTTGATACGAATGATGATGACGTCACGACGAAGATGATGATGACATCACGACGACGACGATGATGACGTCACGACGATGATGATGATGATGACGGGATCATGATCGTCACGTGATAGGATGTCTCGATGATGTAATGGTAATGAGACGATGATGAAGAAGATAAAATGATGATGATACGAAACATGTTTCTAACTCGAAAAATTTGGTAGCTCTGACGTCATAGTGACGTCACGGCGAAGATGGCGATAAGAGAAGTAGCGTCAGTAGTTGACGATGTTGAAAGATGATAACGTTGATGAATGATGACGATGATTGTTATGACGTCACGGTGACGATGGGATGACGACAATATTCACGATTCGATGACGAATGAATGAAGGAAAAAAGGATTTAATGATTGAATGAATGAACGAATGAATGAAGGAACAAAAAATGAATGAATGAATGAACGAGTGATGGAATAAGCAAACGAATTAATACAAATACAAATGTGTATACACAATTTGTGTGTAAAGACGTATATCTATTTATGTGAGCATACACACACACACACACATAGACACACACACACACACACACACATAGACACACACACACACACACACACACACACACATAAAAACACACATACTTATATATGAATGTGAACGCACGAATAAACCCAATTATACCAGCAAATCGTGATTTCCATGATTAAAAGGTCCATATTATAATTGATAGACTGTTGTTGCGATAGAAGTGTGTGTGTTTGTATGTGTTTGTGTGTGTACGTGTGCCTATGTGTGTGTTTGTGTGTGCGCACGCGCGTGTGTGTCTTTTCTTTCATCTACTGATTGAAAATAAAATTAAAAAAAAATTAAAAAGGGTAGCTTGGAGTGATAAAATAAATTAATTTTTTTTTCGTAAAGTTTATTTTCAGCCTTCCTCCGAAAGATGTAAGAATTATTATTTTTTATATTATTATTATTATTGTTATTATTATTATTGTTGTTGTTGTTATTATTGTTTTGTTATTTGTGTTAAAATCAGATAAGTTGATAAAACTTGATCCATCTAAAAACGAGTAGGTAGAAAAAGGTATAATTCAATCGAACAAGCCTTCATAACTAAACAACGTAAGCAAAACGAACAAACGAACGAACGAACGAACGAGCGAACGAATGAACGAACGAACCAACAAACAAACAGAAAACAGACAAACAAATATTCATTGGGTTAACAAAATAAATAAATAATTCCAATGAATGATAGAATTCTATTAATGTAATACAAATATTGCATAATGTCGA